AAACTTCTAAGAACTGCTCAGTCTGGGATAGATAGGGTACGGGGTTATGTTTGTTTTGTTTTGTTTATACCAAGTAAGACTGGCAATCCTAAAGAGCTTTGCTGGAAGCAAGTGGCATCAAAGCCCAGAGAGGTCAGATGCCTCTCTAGCAAAATGGCATAAATGGGCAACTTTCGTCATCACTCAAGTAAAGTGGGAACATGATATGGATGCAAATAGAAAAGCTAAGTTCTTAAAATTTCAACCTGCAAGTGTTTCCTTCCTGTTACCCACTGCTGCTATGGGGTGAAAAGCTGAGTAAGAGATTGCAATCTGCAGTGAGCCAGGCTGAGAGAAAGGCCCAGGCGGATGTGAGGGCTGGTATCAGGGAAAGGGGAAGCAGGCAGCTAACCCAATCCTGTGCCCACTGAGAGGGAGGGAGGGAGGTGGCCTTGAGCGCAGCAGTGTCCCTGGCTCTTACATCAGCACAAGGTAGGAGGGGAAGAAGACTGAAAGAGGTGAAAGTGTTCTGGATCCCTGCTGGCCTGGCCTCCTCCTCACACAGAATCTTTCTCCATGCAGCCACAGACCTTCCCCATCCCCAACCAATTCAAGTTGATGCTCCCCCTGTATCTGGCCAAGAGACTACCAAAAGCTAGATCAAAGGAAAAGTCACAGGGAAAGTCTCACTTTTAGGTTTCAGAGCATAATTTTCCTGAATGTTTAAAATGTCGAGTGGGTTCCAAACACTGAGATATTATAACAAGGTTTATCTAACCACCATCTGTAATACTGTTTCTAAGAAAAAGTATGCTCCTGGTTCCAAGCAGGAACCTTAAATCATTTAACCTGAATGAACAAATATAATCTCTTTACAGTTCAGCATTTCCATAAGCAAAACAAGAGAGTAACAGAATTGATGTTCATTTAAAAAAATTTTTTTAATCCTAGCACTTTGGGAGGCCAAGGTGGGAGGATTGCTTGAGGCCAGGAGTTCAAGACCAGCCTGAGCAAAAGCGAGACCCCTCATCCCTATAAAAAGTAGAAATATGAGCTGGACGTGGTGGCATGCGCCTGTAGTACCAGCTGTTCAGGAGGCTGAGGAAGCTGGATGGCTTGAGCCCAGGAGTTTGAGGTTGCTGTGAGCTATGATGATGACACTGTGCTCTAGCCCAGGCAACAGAGGGAGACTCTATCTCAAAAAATAAATTTTTTTGAAGACCTTGCTGACAGTTGGGATTTGTCCAACCTTTTATCACTGACATCTCTTAGCTGTTATAGAATTTTATTGCCTACGATGCAGAGGGCAGGGAAGGGTGTTATTACCTTGGCATTTTGTCATCTGAGTGATATAGACTCTTGTATACATAAATCAGATGAATTTTCATAGAAGCATTAATAGAGCATTAGTTTCACTTCAGAAAGGGAATGAAAGAAAGAATAACAAGTGTAGTCAAAGAACAAACTAGAATATAGTTATAATAAATAATAATCAAATCAGGAAAATCAGTGTAAACCTATTCTTTAAAAAAACACCAATACACAAAGATAGGAAAAGTTCATAAAAATGTCATCAAACTTTTTAAGTCCTTAATCATTCCATTAAGCTGAGCTATTTGAACACCATTATTTCCCGTTTAAATGTTGAGGCCTTTGTTAGGCCATCCTTATTTATCCTTACCTCTCAGTTCAGGTGTTACCTCCTTTGAGAAGCTACCCCTGAACCCAGGCCAACTCTGGTTTGACTCAAGAAGCTGTTTCTTGGGAGCCCCAGACATTCAGCATGACGCCTCATGGAGGTCCTACTACAGCCAAGGCACTCTGAGCTCCTCGGGGACGGAGATATGATCTATACAAGCAATTCACTAATCTATATGGACTGAAGTGATTCACTTGTATTAATAATGTTATAATTTTAAAGTACAGAATTTGAGAGCCACAGGGAATCTCAGATACCAATTATGCCAACCCTCCACTCTTTTCTGAGATTTTAAATGACTCATTCCAAATTAGAGAGGAACCAGGACCAGAATTCAGACCTTGAAACTCCTGTTCCAATTTCTGTCCCAGCACACCAAGCCACCTAGTCTTTACAAATTCACATGATTAAATGAGAGAATCTTAGAAATTTTGTTGAATTCCCCTTCCACTTCTACTCCTGGTCAATTTTACAGGTGAAGAAACACCACTGGAGGAGATGAAGGGCCTGGCTCACAATTACACGGGTTGTTCACAGCACAGCTGGGATGAAAACTGAGATCTAACTTGAGGGACAGTGTTCTTCCCACTATCTCATAAGGATTCAACTTTCAAGGGCAGGTAGTCAGTGTAGAGAAAAGATCAGCACGGCCCATGGGCCAAATCCCGTGGGCCAGCTGTTTTTGCACAGTTTGCAAGCTAAGAATGTTTTTTACATTTTAAAATAGTTGGAAAAAAAGAATAACAGTTTGTGAATTACATGAATGCAAATTTCAATGTCCACTAATAAAGTTTTGTTGGAACATGGCCATGACCATTTGTTTAGATATTGTTTATGGCTACTCTCAAGTAACAACAGCTGAGTAGTTGTGATAGGGACCTCATGAACTGCAAAGTCTAAAATATTTACTATCTGGACCTTTACAGAAAAAGTTTTCCAAGCCCTGGTGTAGGAAGAGCAAGCCCTCTCTTACAAGTCAGAAGAAAGTAAGTTCTACTACCATCAAACCTGCTGCCCTTAGTTTACAAAAACAAAGGGTTGGGAGGAAACTGATCTACCACCTTCATTCTGTCACATCTGCATGCCGAATGAAAGGGCACTCATCCTCAGGGTTCACATCACCCAGACAGGCACCGGTTAAACTGAGGCCTGCCTAGGTTGGAAGAAGAAATGGAATGCGACAGAGCTGGCCCAGAAACAAGAGTCTCCCAAGAGCACGCCCTCCCCACTATCCCATACGCACCTAAATGCCTCATAAGATGGCAAAGTCCAGCTCTCTGTCACATGATTCCAAGATAGGGGGTGTCCCTTGATTTTGAGAGTAAATTAGCCCACCTACATGAAGGCAGCAAGGGCCATCCATGATCTTTTAGGGGCAGCCATCTGGAGGGGAATCCTGTGCTGACCACTTACTACCTATGAATCCCAGGGCCCGTTAGGGATCCCTTGGTTTTCTCACCTAAGAAGGTAATAAGGCTTGTTTAGAGGATTAAATGAGATACACTTCAAATGCCGGCATTTTCCAATCTTTCTCTCCCTTTCCCAGAGACCATACTCGGAGAGTAACAGAAAGTTATTGTTAGCCTTTCCTAACAGAAAGGCTTGTTAGGGAAGTTTCTTCCAAATTAGCTTAGAGTTTAAGATTTTTTTTACAGAGCCCTAGAAAAAAAATGCCAATCTATCAGTGCAATAAAAATAGGCTCAAGTGTTTAGTAGGGTATTTTCCTCTTATCTTTCAGTTCTTTGAAGCTTCTTCCCAATTATAATCCAGAAATAAGAGTGCTATAATTTTTGGAAAAGTTATGTTTATGTAATTTTTATAGCAAGCCACCCAAAGAACCAAGCTATAATATATTACATTCATGCTCAGTTATGAAGACCAAAACTATAAAAAAAATACCAGAACCAGAAAGTCCTAGTTTATTTAGTCTGGCTTCCTTAACATGAAGTTCTTGTTCTTAAAACATTCAGCTTCAACTGAATTCCAAAACTGACATAAGCCTACTTCAGGTGTTTTGAAGAGGCTGAAGAGAATCAGAACTGAAAACAAGGTTGGAATATAAAACCTTTTATGTGATCACAAATGCAAGAAGCTTATTGTTTTGAAACCATTAAACCAAGTTTTCCACCCACAATTATAAAAAATAAATATGTACACTTTGGGAAGCCTAAGCAGGAGGATTGCTTGAGGCCAAGAGTTCAAGACCAGCCTGGGCAACATGGTGAGACCCCCATCTCTGCAAAACATGTTAAAAAAAAAATTAGCCAGGTGTCACGGCGAATGCCTTTAGTCCCAGCTACTGGGGAGACTAAACCAGGAGGATGGCTTGAGCCCAAGCGTTTTAACTATGATCGTGCCACTGCACTCCAGCCCCAATGACAGAGTGAGACCCTATCTCTATAAATAAAAATTTAAAAATCTAAATATGTATATATTCTCAACATTGGATATACAAAGTGATAAAGGTTAATTTCAACAACATGCTATTATTCCTAACATTTGCTAACAGATAGCTAATTACCAGAACTGCATAACACTTTCTGAAACCTGGGATAGGCTGAAAAAATACTTTTTTTCACGGATTATGGTAGCAATTATTTTAATGGCCAAACTAATCTTAGTTATTAAGAAAGCATATCGGCATTTTAAACAATGTTAAGTAGTATATGGGGTAATAAAAAACAGACCCCGGTTCTTTCACCAAAATCCTTACAAAGATATCACACAAGTTTAGCATAAGTTAAGATGTTAGTACTTGTGGAAGCACTGTAATTACTTGAACGTTCAAATTGGTAAGAGGTGGGAAATACAAGCCACTAAAAGTTGTCAGAGGTAAAATGAGTTGGGAAGATCATGACATGACATGCAAATTCAAAAAGATACACTCTGAGTGCAGCTGGCTGTGTGGCATAAGTCATCGTTTCTGTACTCCCAAAACTACGCAGAGAAAAGGAGAACGCCATCTAAAACGGACATAGATATATGCAGAAGGAAAACGGGCCAAACCTAAGAGAAGCGAAAGCGAGACACTGAATGGAGCAGGGCTGACTGGGGCAAACACCTCGCAGTGCTAGAAAACAGGTCTTCAGGTCTACCACATGGACCGCAGGGCTGCAGCGCCCGGCGGTGGGTGGGCCAGTGGGGCTCTCGCACTAGCACTCACTCTCCCCCAGGAGCGGCCACGCAGCGCCTCTCGCTGCCCCCCAAGTGGGGCAAGAAGTAAACGCTTCCCGCCCAGAAAAAAACAAAATTTCCTCCGAAGACGGCCAGGAAAAACGTGCTCCCTGGCATCGCAGGATGGGGAAAGGGTTACTCACTCACCTGCATTGTAAAAACGGTCCAGCACGGTAGTTTCCCCAAAGTCCAGTTTACCAAAATGCAGGGTCTCCAGAGTGGCGCCCACCGCCTCGCACGCCTCCCGCAGGCTCTGCAGGGCCTCACTCTCGGCCACCACCAGCTGCCCCTGGCTCGCTTCGTTGATCACATATGCCACCGTGGTCCGTCGGCTGCCCCCGCCACCAGAGTTGCCCCGGCACCGGGTGGCACTGCTCCCGGAGGTAGCAGCGGGACACCCGGTACCAGGGGCGGCGGCGTTCTCCACGTCCCAGAAGCTGCCCGGTGGTGGCGGCTGTAGCTGGCTCTCGTCGCCCTCGGCCACCGCCGCCGCTCCTCCCCTCCTGCAGATGCCGCCCTCGGGGATGGTGCAGAAGCCCGAGGGGGTGAAGGGTGGCACGGAGAAAGTGATGCCCTCGCCAGCCTCCGCGCTCATCTCTCCCGGCCGGGCTGCAGCGGCAGCGGGGTCCCCCGCCCAGCCGCACCGTTTGGCCAGCCACAGCTCGGGGCTGCTCCGCGCCCGCCGAGCTAAGCAGCTGCCATCGCGCGCCGCGCCTTCGCCACCGCGCCGCCGCCTCCTCTCCGGCGCCCTCTCCCCCGTGGGCACGCCGCTGCCCGGCGGCGGCCCGCCCCTCCTCGGCGCCTCCGTGGCCGCGCCGCACGCCCGCTGCAGGGTTTAGAGTACAAGGGGTGGGGAAGCCGGGTGAGCGGGAAGGGACAGCGCTTCCTTTTCTTGGCTGGCGGACAAGTCGGCTCGCAAACCTGCGTCGCGGTGCAGCTCAAGGGCGCCGCGCTCGGGGTGCCGTGCGCCCTCGCCACCTGCGGCGCGGCGCGGCTCCTTCCGTCCCGGGCGCCTGGGAGGGGCCAGCAAGCGTGTCCTCTGGGTGGGGAGCTACCTGGCGCGCACCTTACGGGCGGGCGGGCTCCCCGGGCTGCGTCCCGGAACAGCGGCAGCTGCAGCCGAAAGGACCCGCCTCCCTCCTGGGCGGCAGCTTCTCTTCTTCGGCTGTATTTCCTTCTACTCGCCTGGCCTCGTTTCTCTTCCGATCGCCGAGGCCGCTTCGTCCGAGCCCCAGCCTCGCCGCGGGAGTCTCGCCGCTCCTTGCAGCCGCTCGCCTTCTCCGCCACCGGCTTCTGGCCACCCACTCGTCGCGGCACCGAGAGTCTGGGCCCGCCGCGGGGGAGGGCGCTGCTGGGAAGCTCGAGCCGGGACGGAACCGGCAGCACCGCAGCTCCCAGACCTCAGCCCTTCCCTGAGTACAGCGCGTGGCCAAGAGTCCCCGCTGTCTCCCACCCGGCCCCCATCTAAGAAGACCTGGAGTTGGCAAAAGCCCGGAGCGTACGCGACTACAGAATGGCGCAAAAAAGTCTCTCTAGCAAATACTCGGTCTTCGGAGTCAGCTCCCGAGGCATTGCCGGTGTTCCCCGCGGCTACGGCGCCCCCTTCCGGCCCCTCCCGGGCTCGCCCGGCAGCGTGGACGGGGACCGCGCGCGGCGCTGGAAGGACAGGGGCAGCCCCCGGAGGCCCACGTTGCGTAAGGCGGGAGGGTTTCAACTAGCGCCCTGGAGCCAGGGCCTAAACTGGAGGGCAGTTGATTAGTGACAGTGGCGCTCCGAAAGTGAGAGTCTAAATTTATCAAGTTGTCCCCCGGTATTTTAAAACACCATTTTAAAATTTGAAAATTTCCAATAGCATGCCTTATCATTAATGAGTAATTGATTGGCTCCAACTGCTGAACGATTTAGCATTCTCATTTAGGATCTTAAAATGTCCCCCACACGTGCCATATACTCAAGATAGAAGACCGGGCCTATACCCAGCTCTGCAAATTATCATTGACAAGATGGAAGAAGGAAATTAAGTGACTTTTCTATTTTAAAAATTTCACCACGCGGGAGCGGGGGAAATGCTTAGATTGCTCAAGAGCAATCAAAACGTACCTGTTGATTTGGGGAGCAAAAAAACAGATATTTGAGTTCCCAGAGAACTTCTGCAGAAGGCTGTAATTGTTAGGAAAGCCAGTGCACTTTGCATAAAATAGAGTAACAGATTTTGGACTTCCCATCTCCAGGAATGAGATTAATGAGTCCTATGAAAAAACAGAAGAAAAAAGTGAATTACATTTCACTCCCAGGGAGGAAAAAAAGGAAGGATAGAACAATTGAGCAATGAAGACTTAAAAGAAGGAAGCAAATAGTCATGAGGAAAAACACTTAGCGGCTGCACAATTGTATCTTCAATGAAGGAAAGTGACATTAGATTTTTCTAAAGGTATGTAAAATAATAGAAGTAAAATTTATAGTAAGGAAACTACACACTTCATGTGTACTGTAATCTATGTAACCCACGTCAGCTTTTGGAATTGATATCTATGGTAAAGTAGGTATTTAGTCAATCAGTGATAATACGGAAACAAAATGTTGGTGGGCTACTAATAGATATATGCCTTTTAATATTTTCAAGACCTTGTAAAACCTCCAAACCTATGGTAGGAGTAGATAATCCTCCACCCCATCCTGGCCAAGAACAATAAACTGGAAATCTATGAGGACCATGTGTGGAAAACTAAAATGCCTAAATTCTCAAGTAGCATTTTACTATATAAATACGTCTGAGGTTATACATGAAAACTTTTTACACCATCTCACCTTTGCTTCCCTTTCAGATCTACTCAGAGCCATTTTTCATAAAGCAATTTTTATTTTTGTTTTTGTTTTACTTTGCTGGTTTTGTTTTAGTTTGAATTGATTTAATTACCACCATAAGTGATGCTAAGTTCATTTTCTAGTAGCGATGTGGTCAAGTGTGTCTTAGGGCCATTTGCGGTTGAAAAATAGTCAGTGCCCATCACTATGCTGTTGTGTATACCTATCTGAAGTCTCCTGTCTTTACAGTTGAGAATTCAGGGTGTAACAGGTTACCCATTGTCACACAAGGAGTTAGTAACAAGACCGGGGTTCAAATCCAGAACCTGTTATCCATTGCTCCATATCATGGTGATGAAATAATCATTTCATCAGAAAATAGCAAACAGCCTGCTTTTTTGTTCTGATGTGACAGCATGCAACCAGTTCACCTAACAGCTGGTAAAGTTTAAAAGAAGAGTTGTGTGAAGTTGAGACATTTTGCTGAATTTGGAATTAAAATACCATGTCAAAAGACCATTCCTTCTTCTTAATCGGGAAGATGTGCATGGTAGCTGAGTTTCCAAACTCTTCTATCAGAAGCTGGGGAGAACAAAGGCCTGGAAAATAAACTGAGGTTAAAGTCCACAAAGGTGAATGCCATTTGTATTTGTTTGGTACTTCTGTTTTGTCATTAAGTTTGTCATTTATTTCATAATTTGTGATAATTTGTTTTAATACAAAACCATGTTTGGGATTTCTTAATCTTTCAAGAAAAATCTGTGCTTCTGGTTGCTTTTATAGCCAGTGGCTTCAAATTCTTCCCCCTACCCCACCCCATTTCAGCAAATTCCACAGGTGTAGTTCTCAGCCACAAGTGTAGATCAGATTCATGTGAGGAGTTTTACACACATAGAGAACTGCCTCCCCCAATCCCAATCCCAGAAATGTGATTTAAATAAACTTAAGAATGGAACTCTTCCAATATACTTACAGGATTTAATATAAAGCAATTTTATTTCCTAGAGATCTTATTCCTGGGATTCTTTTAATCATTAAGCAGTTCAATGAATGCTTTAAAATGAATAAGAGTTACCATAGTTCATCTACAAACGTACCAGGATCTTCAACACATAAAAAGATGGTCATAAACTCTAAAGTTGAGTAAAATTATCCTCCTCAGGCAAGCATAGAAGTCTGTCCTATAGTTCTTCCTACAGAAGCCATATAAGTGGATAATGATGTTCCAAGTTATTTAGCATAAAAGCTCACCTTGAATTCTATTATAAACCATTTAAAAATAATGTATTACTTATAAAAGACTTAAAATATCAGTACATAAGTGATTATATTGAATTAAGTATATGTTATATTGAATGACCCCTATAAAAGCTATGATGGAATACAATCTATTTAAATATTTGAACAAAAAATTATTTTTACCTGAGGGTTTCACTGCAAAATTACCATATACCTTCTTCTTTTGAGTCACCTTAATCTAGCAAATATTCAAGCCCAAGTATAAATAACAAGGAGGTCCAAGAAATGGTTGAAGTAAAAGCAAAAAGAAAAGAAGTGGCTATTTAAATTAATTAAAAGTAAATGAAATTTAGTGTCCAGTAGCTACATATAGCCAGTGCCTACCTACTCTGTTGGACAATGCAGATATAGAACATTTCTACTATTGCATAAAATTCTACTGGATGGTGTTGTTACAGAAAGAAAGCTATTTGCCAGAATACTTCAAAAGGTTTGTGTTCATTCATTTAGCACTGTATTAAGCTTTAGAAAATAAGTAATTAATAAGGTATGATCCCAGTTGAGCTCACATCTAGAGCGACAGATATGTAAAGAGACTGAGCTGTAATAGAATATATACAAAAAGTGGAAATCAGAGAAAAAAAAGAGTGAAACTCAGAGCTATGCTCTTCAGGTGAATGGGAAGAAATTCTAGGCCCTTGCAAAAGCATGCTAAATGTACAAACATGATATTGTATGTTAAATTCTAGAAAACTTCAAGTAGTTCAAGTACTAATACTAGTAAAAGAGTAGTAGTAATAGTTTTATAGTAATAATACCATCACCACTACTACCACTCTACTGCTACTCCTATTATTACTATCAAAATACTACTACTACTGCTGTGATTATTAGAGTACCCATTTGATATGGCAGTTGTTAAGAAACAAGTTTGGAAACCAAGGCTGAGGTCAGATTTTGAAGTGTTTTGATGAAGTGTTAAGTTTTCTTATCCTGTAAGAAAAAGCAACATTTGAGGATTTTAAGCAGGGGAGCAATATGATCCAATCTATATTTGAGAGAACTGGCTCAGTGTAAAAGCGTGGGCCTGGAGCGAAACCCAAAAGGAAGTTAAGAGGCTTCTGCAATATTCCAAGCTAGGACTAGGGAAGGAGCAGTGATCTCATTGCACCTCAAGCCTCATCAAACCATAATAATTTTTGGTGGAACCTTTGACATTCTTCTTCTAAAAGCATCATTGACAACATTTTCATTTCTTTTTCTGTCCTAACAAGTTAAAACAATTTTAATACAGAGAAACAATTCTCTTCACACTTTGTGAAAGACCAGGGCTTCATCTGTTTGATCTTGCCACACGTTGCCCAGGCCCCACGCACATACCCACCATCTCCCAGACTGTGAAAGTGTCCCCTTCTTCTTCCTTCACTTTGACTAAAATGTTTACTATTAAAGGCATTTCTTTAATTTAGATAAATAAATCATGAAAAGCATATGCATAAATCCACAATAATAGTTTTGCATAAGCAACAGAAACCAAATCTAACTACCATAATCAAAAAACCCAATTTTTTGTAAAAATATTTGGGCTCACAGCACCAATGCAAGGCTGAAGTTCAGGCTCAGAAAATGGGTAGGAACCAAGAGTGCTCCAGAGGCCAGGAGCTGCAGCTGAGGTCATGTCACAG